CTTTACGTATAGTAAATAAGTACAAGTAGTAAAGTAAAAAAAATAAAACTAAGTTAGTAAACGTAAGACTACACTAGAACTAATACTATATTATCATATATATATATATATATATATATATATATATATATATGCTCTGATCCAAGGCATTGGGTTGATTTCACATTTATTTATTACACACTATTTTTAGGAAATTTAGTGTTGTTTTGACAGGCATCTGCTACTACTGAATATTTCAAAATTAGCTAAATTAAAGCATTACAGAATATCTTCATATTAAGCTATAATTTGCACACATTAATTTCCAAGATAAATACATTTTCTTTTGTCACAAGGATTTGTATAATAACTTGGTTAACTTTATCAGGACTGGCAGGATGATACTATATCACTGGTTTTTTCTCATACTTAAAATTATTAAACTAACTGCATGAAGTTTGATACACATTTTCTATATAACATGTAGTTTGTGCTTCAAAAACAAATTATAAAAAAATGAATTAAGTATTTGTATCATATATTTGGTTAACTTTTGGAAATTTTACTTTGAACATTGTTTTTAGAAAATATTAAATTACTTCCTTTCATCTTTCAATTTCTGTTCATTTTTCATTGTTTGTCTAAAATATTGTATTTATATCCAATAGATATTTTTACAATAAAACTATAATTACTGTGTCTGAGTTTTTCTAATAATGGCATAATCGTTTCCTTGTCTGTTCATAAACACAGAAAGAAACCACTAAAGAATTATGAAAGGAAGTAAAACTGGATTTTCTTAAATATTATTGATTAGAAAGTTCCATTTTATACATCCAATTAGGTGTAACTTGTTCTATTTTTCTCAGTTATATATATTTGTTAATCATACTTAGCTACCAAAGCAGTTATGTAGCTGGAGAGATAATATAAAACACCAATGAAAAAGTGTTCACTGGTAGAAACCCAGCATACACTTGTATCCTAGTTCTACAGTGATTATAGGTGATATTTTTAACTTAACTTCTTTCTAATAATTAGAGTTTGTTTTTAGTAATTAAGGAGTTCTTGCACTCATATGTGTTGTTTAGTAATAACATTTAATAATAGATACAAATAAAAAAGCTTTTGTGTCATTTCAGTAGTTTGCCATTGTAGAATTCCTAGCTTACCATACTCACTAACCCTAAATATCCTTATTTTATGTTTTCTCATATAAGAATATTCCTGTAAGTTTAAAACATACATAATGTAAAAAGATTACTAAAATGAAAACATTATAAAAAAAATAAAAAAACAGGTTAGTGGTTTGTTCCCGAGTTTGTAAACTTTGAATTAGAATCCTTTGTCATCTACATTTGTTAAGTCACTTTTTCAGAATATTATGTTACTGTTTACCCAAGTGTTATTTACATTATATTGATATAGATACACAAAAATATTTTCTATCCAAACATGTTTAGGTATTGGTTCTATCTTGTTTGGAAGCTAAGATTTATTAGTTACTGTCCAAAGGAAAGTTACTTTAAAAAACAACAACTTTGGCTATGTCTATTTCTAATAGGGTTTGGATGAATATAAACCAATACTTTATGTGTAAGAACTTTGTTTACAGTCACTACATGCAGAAAGGTCAAAGTTTAAACATTTAAAAATTTTCTTTCCAAATTATACTAAATAAACTTTGCTTTAACAAAATATCAGTTTTCAGGTATTTTTGGGTAAAATGAACATGGAACTACAGTTAAAATTAATATTTTCCCTTGAAATATGAAATTTATTATGCATTCATATATTCGGTGCCCTTTTCAACTTCGGGGAGCTGTCCACTGTTCCCTAAAAGGTTGAACACGATGTATACTTAGTAGTTAATGATATTAGTTTGGAAAACATTTATTAACTATACAACTCAAGTCCCTGGGTAATCTTGATATTGCCTATTCAGTATAAAAACTCAACTAGTCTACTTGGATTTGGCTTATTTTCATCATTAGAGGATCTTTAAAATTACCTACTCTAAGTTATTGCTCAGCTCTAGTCATTACAACTGGAACAAAGAATGAAATGTACAGTATGCACTCACACAAGATCTTTTATATTTAAGAATACCAAGTAAATCATAGTATAATTTATGCAGTTAAAAACAGTGATGTTAGGTAACAAAATACATATAAATGCTGCCTGTACAGAAATGGAATTATTTCAAAATACTTAAAAACTTAAGATATAGTATCTATGTTAGTAATTAAGAAAATTTATTTATTTTTGTTCAAAAAGTTATTGTGCTTACTTAACTAAAGTACAGACTCTGCAACATATAAAATACAAAGCCAACTCTAGCTAGCAAGAAAAATTAGTTTACTATGAAACATTACAAAGACAATAACTTAAATAAACTTGCATTACTTTTCTCCACAAAAAACACTTTAATATATTCTATATTTTACTCTCATCACGAGAGCATGAACACATTACAGCTATTTTAACCTAAATGTTATAACTTAAAACAGTTCTAAGTTAAGTTTTACTGAAATATGGTTATAGTATCTCGAGTTAAATGGACAAATATGGACTGAAACCATTCACTGTTCACAAACATAGAAATAAATTCCTTAAAATTATTAAGCAAGTTATTTAGTGATATATTTTTTAGCCTCATATTATTACCGGATGGAAGATGTTGAAAAACCATGGGCAAGTTGGAAGCCTATAGTCTTCCCCTATTGTTTCGATCCCACGAACGGCTAGGAACATAGATATAGGTGATCCAAGAGCAAAAAAACAAGAGGGTGCAAAGTCTAGCCTAAAAAAAAAATGCATTTATCTTTCTTACTTTTTGGAAAATGAATTTTTTAAATATCAGCAAATATTACTTACAATCATCAGTGTGGCTCTGTAAGTTACAATTCAAATTTTTTTATGACTTTCTCATAAATGCCTTGGTTTTTTGCGTTTGTGAACTTTAATGCAAAAAAAAAAAGAGAGTATGAATTACTTAAAGATAGGCACAACTTACCACTGTAATCCTCTGCTCATCCCTAATGTGTTCTAACATCTAGATACACGCAACTGTTTATATGCACTTACATAACAGGAAGAAATTGCACATGTTTAAATAGTCTTTTTATAAACCACTTACACTTTTCAGTGAGGTAGTTTTATGGATATTCACAATAATGGACATACATTTAAAATACCTATTTTAAATGTTACGAGACTTACTGAACTTATTTATGTTGCTGAAAAATTAAGGAATTTCTAAAGACAAAAAATTCTTGATATTTACAGGTTATTGCATCATTGTATTTAGCATACTAGTACGAATAACAGAAATGCATTGAAATCACACTTGCATAACCCTTTCCAGACAGGTTACAGATTAAAGGCCATGTCATCGTGTTTGTTGACTCGCATTCAAAATTTTATTGAACTACTATTTCATGAATTTATGTCAATAAGTTTGGTATCAAACTATAGATTATAATTCAAATTTTAGTATTAGACATTATTCAATTTCTTTATTTAAAAGTAGATATATAAAAAACACAGTTAAACATCGATTTTTGTGTCGCATGGTATGTTGAATGCAGCACTGGTTCAAATTAGATATTTGTGATGTCAAAATACTAATTCTATAGTTGTGTACGAGTTAGGAATTCAAATTACTGATATTAACAAGCTAGAACATAAAATAAGTACCTACTATCTTTCCTATTTGCCGAGATATCACTCATGGCCCTGCACATCTCTTTCAATTTTTGGAAACGGTCCCTTATACACACTGACTTCTATATATGACATGTGAATAACCAATTGAAAGCTCAGAATGTCCCCCTAGTGGCCTTCTCAGCCATTTTACAGTATTTGGACACCATCTCATTCTTTCAAACTAAGATTTCAAGGAGGTAGGTTGTGTCTTTAGTCTGCTTGAAATTTCATATTTTTTTAGACCGAAATACATCTTAGTTGCTAAGCTTGATAAATTATAGTGGAATTCTATGTAGTAATTTATGATTTTTTGGTTATTCATCTGTATATATAAGACCTAAAAAAAAATTCTTTCATTTAGTATCCTCCATGTGCGAAATTTTAACAGGCTTAGCAACCTACATCAAGCAGCAACAGAGTACAAAGGTCATAATTACAAGAGATAATTGTTTGCTTTACTTCTTTATTTACTGTTCTATGTTTTAAGAAAAACAAGTTTAAGAACTTATTTCTAAATAGCAATAATCTATATACATATATAATGTATAATAATTGAAATATGACTGTATTTTACAAAATACTAGTCCACTAAAACACAGCCAAGACTGGTCACTTTGTAAAGACTAAAAGTCAGTTTTATATTACTGGATATGGTAACGAGTGTATGTGTGCCGTGTCATTGTAACTTGTGTATTGTTAACCAGGCACGGCTGAAAGGTCAATATAATAAAAATAATAAATGTATAATGTTATGAGATTTAAGCTATTTAGTCTAAACAGTTACGTTTTTGTGTTATAATTTGTTGTCATTCTAGAACGATAGATGCATAATTTATATTTACTTCCCAATTTTTCTAATGTGGCTAAAAGATTGGTCAAATATACCAAACCCATACAGAGATATTCGTTTGTGAAAATAACAGATAAAATATAAAGTTTTTTCTTAAGAAACATTTAATAATTATCATCTACATATTATCAAGATTTCGCATGTGAAACTTCAAAATCTTCTGATGCACAAATCTTAAAATTATAATTACTTTTCATGTTGGATAGGCAACATGTGAAAAGAAAAAAGGCATGAGAAAAACATTGCTTAACAAACCTTAAGACTTAATAAAAAAAATCTGATATTTTACATATGAAAACCTTGTAATGTTTACTGAGAATCTGCCAAATTTTGTTAACATATGCTTATTAATTAAAAAGTTATAGCATGAAAACTATAATAAGCACAAAAGGGTTGTAAGGTCGGTCCCAAGGACTGAGCCCGTGCTGAAAGAGATAAACTATTTGTTATACCACTACAATGTGTGTAGATGAAGCTAGTGATACATCAGGAAGACTTTGTATCTTTCAATGTACACCTTTATAAGCAATGAAAGGTTGTTTCAAATCTGTTAGAACCTATCATAGATGGCTAAGAAACAGTTGAGTACATTTTTACAATCAATCTGCTGTGAAAGGATATGTCACACCTGTTAGAACCTATCCTAGATGGCTGAGAAATAGTTAGGTACACCTATATAAACAGTGAAAGGATATCAAACCTGTTAGAACCTATCCTAGATGGCTGAGAAATAGTTAGGTACACCTATATAAACAGTGAAAGGATATCAAACGTGTTAGAACCTATCCTAGATGGCTGAGAAATAGTTAGGTACACCTATATAAACAGTGAAAGGATAT